AGTAGTAAGAGTGTTGAGTAAGAGTGAGTAGTAAGAGTGGTGAGTAGTAAGAGTGGTGAGTAGTAAGAGTGTTGAGTAAGAGTGGTGAGTAGTAAGAGTGTTGAGTAGTAAGAGTGTTGAGTAGTAAGAGTGGTGAGTAGTAAGAGTGGTGAGTAGTAAGAGTGGTGAGTAGTAAGAGTGTTGAGTAGTAAGAGTGGTGAGTAGTAAGAGTGGTGAGTAGTAAGAGTGGTGAGTAGTAAGAGTGGTGAGTAGTAAGAGTGGTGAGTAGTAAGATTGGTGAGTAGTAAGATTGGTGAGTAGTAAGAGTGGTGAGTAGTAAGATTGGTGAGTAGTAAGAGTGGTGAGTAGTAAGAGTGGTGAGTAGTAAGAGTGGTGAGTAGTAAGAGTGTTGAGTATTAAGAGTGGTGAGTAGTAAGAGTGGTGAGTAGTAAGAGTGGTGAGTAGTAAGAGTGGTGAGTAGTAAGAGTGGTGAGTAGTAAGATTGGTGAGTAGTAAGATTGGTGAGTAGTAAGAGTGGTGAGTAGTAAGAGTGGTGAGTAGTAAGAGTGTTGAGTAGTAAGAGTGGTGAGTAGTAAGAGTAGTAAGAGTGTTGAGTAGTAAGAGTGTTGAGTAGTAAGAGTGGTGAGTAGTAAGAGTGGTGCGTAGTAAGATTGGTGAGTAGTAAGAGTGGTGAGTAGTAAGAGTGGTGAGTAGTAAGAGTGGTGAGTAGTAAGAGTGTGTGAGTAGTAAGAGTGTTGAAGTCGTAAGAGTGGTGAGTATTAAGAGTGGTGATTAGTAAGAGTGTTGAGTAGTAAGAGCTGGTGAGTAGTAAGAATTGGTGAGTAGTAAGAGTGGTGAAGTAGTAAGAGTGGTGCAGTAAGTAAGTAAGGTGCGTGAGTAGTAAGATTGGTGAGTAGTAAGATTGGTGAGTAGTAAGAGTGGTGAGTCGTACGAGTGGTTGAGTAGTAAGAGTGTTGAGTAAGAGTGTGGTGGAGTAAGGAGTTGTGTAGTAGTAAGTCTGTTTTGTTGAGTAAGAGTGGTGAGTAGTAAGAGTGTTGAGTAGTAAGAGTGGTGAGTAGTAAGAGTGGTGAGTAGTAAGAGTGTTGAGTAGTAAGAGTGGTGAGTAGTAAGATTGGTGAGTAGTAAGAGTGGTGAGTAGTAAGAGTGGTGAGTAGTAAGAGTGTTGAGTAAGAGTAGTAAGAGTGTTGAATAGTAAGAGTGGTGAGTAGTAAGAGTGGTGAGTAGTAAGAGTGGTGAGTAGTAAGAGTGTTGAGTAAGAGTGTTGAGTAGTAAGAGTGGTGAGTAGTAAGAGTGTTGAGTAGTAAGAGTGTTGAGTAGTAAGAGTGTTGAGTAGTAAGAGTGTTGAGTAGTAAGAGTGTTGAATAGTAAGAGTGGTGATAGTAAGAGTGGTGAGTAGTAAGAGTGTTGAGTAAGAGTGGTGAGTAGTAAGAGTGGTGAGTAGTAAGAGTGGTGAGTAGTAAGAGTGGTGCGGAGTATTGGTGAGTAGTAAGATTGGTGAGTAGTAAGAGTGGTGAGTAGTAGAGTGGTGAGTAGTAAGAGTGTTGAGTAGTAAGAGTGGTGAGTAGTAAGAGTGTTGAGTAAGAGTGGTGAGTAAGAGTGGTGAGTAGTAAGAGTGGTGAGTAAGAGTAGTAAGAGTGGTGAGTAGTAAGAGTGTTGAGTAAGAGTGGTGAGTAAGAGTGGCGAGTAGTAAGAGTGGTGAGTAAGCGTGGTGAGTAGTAAGAGTGGTGAGTAGTAAGAGTGGTGAGTAGTAAGAGTGGTGAGTAGTAAGAGTGTTGAGTAAGAGTGTTGAGTAGTAAGAGTGTTGAGTAGTAAGAGTGGTGAGTAAGAGTGGTGAGTAGTAAGAGTGGTGAGTAGTAAGAGTGGTGAGTAGTAAGAGTGGTGAGTAGTAAGAGTGGTGAGTAGTAAGATTGGTGAGTAGTAAGAGTGTTGAGTAAGAGTGAGTAGTAAGAGTGTTGAGTAGTAAGAGTGGTGAGTAAGAGTGGTGAGTAGTAAGAGTGGTGAGTAGTAACAGTGTTGAGTAGTAAGAGTGTTGAGTAGTAAGAGTGGTGAGTAGTAAGATTGGTGAGTAGTAAGATTGGTGAGTAGTAAGAGTGGTGAGTAGTAAGAGTGGTGAGTAGTAAGAGTGGGAGTAGTAAGAGTGGTGAGTAGAAGAGTGGTGAGTAGTAAGAGTGGTGAGTAGTAAGAGTGTGAGTAGTACGAGTGTTGAGTAGTAAGAGTGGTGAGTAGTAAGAGTGGTGAGTAGTAAGAGTGGTGAGTCAGTAAGAGTGGTGAGTAGTAAGAGTGGTTGAGTAGTAAGAGTGAGTGAGTAGAGAGTGGTGAGTAGTAAGAGTGGTGAGTAAGTAGTAAGAGTGTTGAGTAGTAAGAGTGTGTGAGTAGTAAGAGTGTTGAGTAAGATGGTGAGTAGTAAGAGTGGTGAGTACGTCAGATGGTGAGTAGTAAGAGTGGTGAGTATAAGAGTGGTGAGTAGTAGAGTGGTGAGTAGTAAGAGTGTTGAGTAGTAAGATTGGTGATAGTAAGAGTGGTGGAGTAGTAAGAGTGGTGAGTAGTAAGAGTGGTGAGTAGTAAGAGTGGTTGAGTAGTAAGAGTGGTGAGTAGTAAGATTGGTGAGTAGTAAGAGTGTGAGTAGTAAGATTGGTGAGTAGTAAGAGTGTGAGTAAGAGTGTGAGTAGTAGAGTGTTGAGTAGTAAGAGTGGGAGTAGTAAGAGTGTGTGAGTAGTAAGAGTGGTGAGTAGTAAGGTGTTGAGTAGTAAGAGTGGTGAGTAGTAAGAGTGGTGAGTAGTAAGAGTGGTGAGTAGTAAGAGTTGGTGAGTAGTAAGAGTGTGAGTAGTAAGAGTGGTGAGTAGTAAGAGTGTTGAGTTAGAAGTGGTGAGTAAGAGTGGTGAGTAGTAAGAGTGCTGGTAGTAAGAGTGTTGAAGTAAGAGTGTGTGAGTAGTAAGAGTGGTGAGTAGTAAGAGTGGTGAGTAGTAAGAGTGGTGATAGTAAGAGTGGTGAGTAGTAAGAGTGGTGAGTAGTAAGAGTGGTGAGTAGTAAGATTGTGTGAGTAAGAGTGGTGAGTAGTAGAGTTGTTGAATAGTAAGAGTGGTGAGTAGTAAGAGTGGTGAGTAGTAAGAGTGGTGAGTAGTAAGAGTGGTGAGTAGTAAGAGTGTTGAATAGTAAGAGTGTTGAATAGTAAGAGTGTTGAGTAGTAAGAGTGTTGAATAGTAAGAGTGGTGAGTAAGAGTGGTGAGTAGTAAGAGTGGTGAGTAGTAAGAGTGTGAGTACGAGTGGTGAGTAGTAGAGTGGTGAGTAGTAGTAAGAGTGTTGAGTAGTAAGAGTGTTGAGTAGTAAGAGTGTTGAATAGTAAGAGTGTTGAGTAGTAAGAGTGTTGAGTAGTAAGAGTGTTGAGTAAGAGTGGTAAGAGTGGTGAGTAGTAAGAGTGTTGAGTAAGAGTGGTGAGTAAGAGTGGTGAATAAGAGTGGTGAGTAGTAAGAGTGTTGAGTAGTAAGAGTGTTGAGTAGTAAGAGTGGTGAGTAGTAAGAGTGTTGAGTAGTAAGAGTGTTGAATAGTAAGAGTGTTGAATAGTAAGAGTGTTGAGTAGTAAGATTGGTGAGTAGTAAGAGTGGTGAGTAGTAAGAGTGGTGAGTAGTAAGAGTGTTGAGTAAGAGTGGTGAGTAAGAGTGGTGAGTAGTAAGAGTGGTGAGTAAGAGTGGTGAGTAGTAAGAGTGGTGAGTAGTAAGAGTGGTGAGTAAGAGTGGTGAGTAGTAAGAGTGTTGAGTAGTAAGAGTGGTGAGTAGTAAGAGTGTTGAGTAAGAGTGGTGAGTAAGAGTGGTGAGTAGTAAGAGTGGTGAGTAGTAAGAGTGGTGAGTAAGAGTGGTGAGTAGTAAGAGTGGTGAGTAAGAGTGTGAGTAAGAGTAGTAAGAGTGTTGAGTAGTAAGAGTGGTGAGTAAGAGTGGTGAGTAGTAAGAGTGTTGAGTAAGAGTGTTGAGTAGTAAGAGTGTTGAGTAGTAAGAGTGGTGAGTAGTAAGAGTGTTTGACTAGTAAGAGTGGTGCGTAAGAGTGTTGAGTAGTAAGAGTGGTGAGTAGTAAGAGTGGTGAGTAGTAAGAGTGGTGAGTAGTAAGAGTGTTGAGTATGAGTGGTGAGTAAGAGTGGTGAGTAGTAAGAGTGGTGAGTAGTAAGAGTGGTGAATAGTAAGAGTGGTGCGTAAGAGTGTTGAGTAGTAAGAGTGGTGAGTAGTAAGAGTGGTGAGTAGTAAGAGTGGTGAGTAGGTAAGAGTGGTGAGTAGTAAGAGTGCGTGGTAGTAAGAGTGGTGAGTAGTAAGAGTGGTGAGTAGTAAGAGGTTTGAGTAGTAAGAGTGGTGAGTAGAAGAGTGTTTGAGTAAGAGTGGTGAGTAAGAGTGTTGAGTAGTAAGAGTGGTGAGTAGTAAGAGTGGTGAGTAGTAAGAGTGTTGAGTAAGAGTGGTGAGTAAGAGTGTTGTAGTAGTAAGAGTGGTGAGTAGTAAGAGTGGTGAATAGTAAGAGTGGTGCGTAAGAGTGGTGAGTAGTAAGAGTGGTGAGTAGTAAGAGTGGTGAGTAGTAAGAGTGGTGAGTAGTAAGAGTGGTGAGTAGTAAGAGTGGTGAGTAGTAAGAGTGGTGAGTAGTAAGAGTGGTGAGTAGTAAGAGTGGTGAGTAGTAAGAGTGTTGAGTAAGAGTGGTGAGTAAGAGTGGTGAGTAGTAAGAGTGTTGAGTAGTAAGAGTGGTGAGTAGTAAGAGTGGTGAGTAAGAGTGGTGAGTAGTAAGAGTGGTGAGTAGTAAGAGTGGTGAGTAGTAAGAGTGGTGAGTAGTAAGAGTGTTGAGTAAGAGTGGTGAGTAAGAGTGGTGAGTAGTAAGAGTGGTGAGTAGTAAGAGTGTTGAGTAGTAAGAGTGGTGAGTAGTAAGAGTGTTGAGTAGTAAGAGTGGTAAGAGTGTTGAGTAAGTGTTGAGTAAGAGTGTTGAGTAAGAGTGGTGGTGAGTAGGAGGGGGAGGAGCCAAGGGTCGCGTCTCACCTGCACGATGGCCATCCTCTGCTGACGTCGCTGCTCGATGACGACATCCTCGTCCTCCTCCTCGGGGTCAAAGTCCTCCAAGCTGGGTGGGGGGGTGGAGTCAGCGAGGTGGGGGGGTGGAGTCAGCGAGGTGGGGGTGGGGGGTGGAGTCAGCGAGGTGAGAGGGTGGAGTCAGCGAGGTGGGGGTGGGGGGTGTGGAGTCAGCGGGGTGGGGGGGTGGAGTCAGCGAGGTGGGGGTGGGGGGTGTGGAGTCAGCGAGGTGGGGGTGGGGGGTGGAGTCAGCGAGGTGAGGGGGTGGAGTCAGCGGGGTGGGGGGTGGGGGGTGTGGAGTCAGCGGGGTGGGGGGGTGGAGTCAGCGAGGTGGGGGGGGTGAAGTCAGCGAGGTGGGGGTGGGTGGAGTCAGCGGGGTGGGGGATGACACAAGGGTCGAGCTGACACACGTGCGTGCGTGTGTACACGTGCGTGTGTGTGTGTACACGTGCGTGTGTGTGTGTACACGTGCGTGTGTGTGTGTGTACACGTGCGTGTGTGTACACGTGAGTGTGTGTGTACACGTGCGTGTGTGTGTACACGTGCGTGTGTGTGTACACGTGCGTGTGTGTGTACACGTGTGCGTGTGTACACGTGCGTGTGTGTGTGTGTACACGTGCGTGTGTGTACACGTGCGTGTGTACAAATGCGTGTGTGTACACGTGTGTGTGTGTACACACGTGCGTGCGTGTGTCTACACACGTGCGTGCGTGTCTACACACGTGCGTGCGTCTATAAACGTGCGTGTGTGCGTGTACACGTGCGTGTGTGTGTACATGTGCGTGCGTGTCTACACACGTGCGTGTGTACACGTGCGTGCGTGTGTCTAAACACGTGCGTGCATCTACTCACGTGCGTGAGTGTACACGTGAGTGTGTACATGTGCGTGTGTGTGCGTGTGTGTACGTGTGTGTACACGTGAGTGTGTGTGTGTACACGTGTGTGTGCACAGACTGCGTGCGTACACGTGCGTGTGTGTACATGTGAGTGTGTGTACATGTGAGTGTGTGTACACGTGTGTGTGTGTACACGTGTGTTGGCACGTGTGTGTGTGCACGTGTGTGTGTGTGTGCACGTGTGTGTGAGGTACACGTGTGTGTGAGGAACACGTGTGTGTGTGTAAAACAACCCCCTACCTCCTCGCCGTGCCGGACGGGCAACTCTGTCATGGACAGTGCTGTGGGGGGAGGTCCAATTTCGATTGGCTCCTCCCCTCATGGCATCTGTGTCTACCACAGGGGCTAAACGGGGGCTCTGGACGAGTGCGAGGGGCTGGTAACCCCTCCACCTTCAATTAATTACCACTAAACTACGACTGAAATATATAACTAATAAGCTTGGACGGAGGCCCCGGGGGGCCAGGCGTCTATGACGTCTCCTGGCCAAACCCCAATTGGCGAAGCCAGGAGATTGAATATCTACCCTCGGGGCTCCTCCAGAAACAACGAAAAACCACTACGGGTGGCCACGTGGAATGTTCGAACGCTCACTGCGGAGGAGAGGCTGCCACTCCTCTGTTGGGAGCTGGACCGGTACCGCCTGGATCTATGTGGCATTCAGGAGGTCCGGTGGACCGGTTCTGGCTCCTGCCACCATGAGGGGTGGACAGTCCTCTACTCGGGGCAGCAGACTGCCAAACAACAGGGTGTGGCTCTTCTTTTGAACAAAAGAATGAAGGGGGCGTGGGAGCGTGGCGGTGAGGTGTGGGAAGCAGTAAGCCCCAGGCTACTTTGGGCTCGCCTTCCCATCAACCGGAGGCGAGGAATGGTGGTCGTGGTTACTTATGCCCCCACCGAAGATGAACATCCGTGGAGGGATGCAGGCAAAGCCGATGAGTCAGATGCCTTCTATGACCTCCTGTTACAGGTGCTGGCTAAAGTGGCCCCTCGGGATAGAGTCATCATGTTGGGTGACTTCAATGCCCGAGTTGGTCATGATGCTGGCACCTGGTCTGGAGTGATTGGAGGGCATGGGCCAGATCAGCTCAATAACAACGGTAGGAGGCTGCTAGATTTTTGTGCAGCCCATGGGCTTGTAATTACCAACACGCTGTTCCGGCATCGGTGCATCCACACAACATCATAAATGCATGCCGGGTCCAAGCAAGAACATCTGCTGGACTACATAGTGACGGACCAGCGGATGCGAGCCCATGTCCTTGACACCAGGACCTCTGACCATGGACTAGTCATCTGTAAGATGCGCCTGCCATTCCTCTACTCTGGTGGTGGGTGTACACCCAGGACCTCATTTCAACCTAAAGTGGCCTGGTCTCAGTTATCTGATGAAAGTTGCAAGCGAGAATTTCATCATCGCTTGCGGCTGGGATTGGCATCGTCCCCGACTCCTCCTGATGTCGAGGGTAAATGGGCGAGGTTTAGGACTGTGACTCATGCAGCTGTAATGGCTGATTTGGGTACGCGGTCCAGACCTCCCCAGAGACCCTGGCTGACAGAGGAGGTGTTCAGGATGGTTGAGAAAAAGCGACAGGCCCACTGTCATCGGCTACAGAATCCCACGTCAGAGAATGAGGAAGCTTACCGCAGCCTTCGCTCGGAGGTTCGGAGAGCCGTGAGGCGCTGCAAGGATGGGTGGTGGTCGCGGGTTGCTGAGGAGATGGAGTCTGCCTCAGTGGCCCGCGATCACAAATCTCCATTTAACGCCATCAAAAAAGTAACCTGCAGCGCCACACCTATTACCATCATTAGGGGAAAAAACGGTGATCCAATCTCCGACCCCCAGGAACAGGTTTGCAGATTTGCTGAGCATTTCTGTGAGGTCCTGGGGGAGGCAAAATCCCTCAGCCAGGAAAACATCGTGGCACAAAGTGAGGATGACCCTGCTGAGGCTGCGGTGCCTCAAATATTGGAAGTCACCCCCTGTGAGTGGCTGGCTGAGGTGCCATCTGTTGAGGAAGTACTAAAGGCGATCTGGAGTCTGAGACCAGGAAAGGCAGCGGGCAGAGATGATCTCCCAAGCGAAATGCTGAGGGAGGGTGGCGTTTGTGCACAGACTGCCCTATATGACATCATAACAACAGTCTGGACCACTGGACGGGTTCCGCAGGATTGGAAGGATGCCCTGGTGGTCCCCCTTTTTAAGAAGGGGGACCGCACAGACTGTAACAACTACAGGGGCATTTACTCCTCAGCGTGCCGGGAAAGGTCCTGGCAAGGATTATTCAGCATCGCCTTGCCAGGCATGCTGAGGAGAGGCTTGCAGAGTCCCAATACGGTTTCAGGAAAGGGCGGTCCTGCACAGATGCCATATTTTCTGTCCGTCTGCTACAGCAGATGTGTAGGGAATTCCAAAAAAACCTACATCTCTGCTTTATTGACCTGGTCAAGGATATGATACCATCAGTAGGCCTGGGCTCTGGGTTGTTCTTCGTGCTTTTGGAGTAGCTGACCCTCTGCTCACGATCATTAAGGACCTTCATGATGGTGAGCAGGCCCGGGTAAAACTACGTGGCCGGGAGTCAGAGCCATTCCCTGTACACCTTGGGGTGCGACAGGGATGTCCTCTGGCTTCCACATTATTTAACATCTATTTTGACCACGTAGTTCGTGAAGCCTTCAATAGCTGTACCAGGGGAATCTCCATATGGTAAAGATATAATGGGAGGCTGATCGATGCCCGGGTGCGGTCAAGGGATGGCTCCCTATTGCTCAACCACGTTATGTATGCTGATGATTTGGTAATAGCTGCTCATTCAGAGGAGGAGTTGGAGACGCTGCTGCTGAGACTGGAGCGTGCCACTAAGAGGTGGGGCCTTACCATCAGCCCCACTAAAACTAAGCACCTGCCTGGGTATTTTGTACCATCGGACACTACACCCCCACAACTCCCAATCGGTGATGGGGCAGTTGTGGAGCGAGTGGAGAGTTTCCCATACCTGGGTAGTGTGCTTATGACTGGCTCCAGTTTAACAGCAGAGGTCTCACTCCGAATCAGTCGAGCGGCAATATCTTTTCATCGGTTGCGTAACGCTGTGTGGAAGCTACCTGGTCTGTCGCTCACTGCTCACCTCTCTGCCTCACCTCTCTGCCTCACCACTCTGCCTCACCACTCTGCCTCACCACTCTGCCTCACCACTCTGCCTCACCACTCTGCCTCACCACTCTGCCTCACCACTCTGCCTCACCACTCTGCCTCACCACTCTGCCTCACCACTCTGCCTCACCACTCTGCCTCACCACTCTGCCTCACCACTCTGCCTCACCACTCTGCCTCACCACTCTGCCTCACCACTCTGCCTCACCACTCTGCCTCACCACTCTGCCTCACCACTCTGCCTCACCACTCTGCCTCACCACTCTGCCTCACCACTCTGCCTCACCACTCTGCCTCACCACTCTGCCTCACCACTCTACATCACGTCTCTACCCACCGCTGTCTCTATCTGTGCCCACACCTGTCTTCCCCATCGCCCACCTCTCTACCCACCATCTACCCACCATCTACCCACATCTACCCACCTCTCTACCCACCATCTACCCACCTCTATACCCACCACCTACCCACCTCTATACCCACCACCTACCCACCTCTATACCCACCACCTACCCACCTCTCTACCCACCATCTACCCACCTCTCTACCCACCTCTCTACCCACCTCTCTACCCACCACCTACCCACCTCTCTACCCACCTCTATACCCACCATCTACCCACCTCTCTACCCACCATCTACCCACCTCTCTACCCACCTCTCTACCCACCTCTCTACCCACCTCTCTACCCACCTCTCTACCCACCTCTCTACCCACCTCTCCCCACCCACCCACCCACCCACCACCCCCCTCCCCACGCGACTCACTGCTCGCCGTCCGACGACTCGTGCTGCGCCGCCTTCATCCCCTCGGACAGCGAGCCCTTGAAGCGGTCCTCCCGCTCCCGCGACGCCGACCGTCGGCCCCCACGGTGGTAGCGGCTGTGGTACCGCGACGCGCGGCCTGGCGACGAGCCCCTCCGGTAAACGCCGCCGCCGCCGCCGCCCCCGCCGTTGCCGCGGTCGCGGGAGCGGCTGCGGCGGGGCCGCTCGCGGCCCGGCGGCGGCCGCTCGGCGGAACGCCGGCGGGGGGCCGGCGGCGGGGAGCGAGGGCGCCGGCCCGGCGAGCCCCCCCGGCGGTAGCCGCGGGGGGGCGACGAGGCCCCGGCGCCCGGGGGGCCGCCGCGGGACGGGCGGCCCCCGGCGGCGGCGGCGGCGGCGCCGGCGGCACCGGCGGCGCCGCCGCCGGGGGCCGCGGCCGCGGCGCCGGGGAGGGCCGCGGCGGAGCCCTCGGCCGCGCGGTCGCGACGGTCCTGGTCGCGCGAGCGCCGGGGGTCCCGGCGGGAGCTCGGCTCGTCGCGGTGCGGCCTGGCGCAGGGAGAGACACGGCGGGGGAGACACTGAGACACGGCAGGGAGACACGGCGGGGGAGACACATTGAGGTGCGGAGACACGGCGGAGAGACACGGCGGAGAGACACTGAGACACGGCGGAGAGACACGGCGGGGAGGCACTGAGACACGGCGGAGAGACACGGCGGGGAGACACTGAGACACGGCGGAGAGACACGGCGGGGAGACACTGAGACACGGCGGGGGAGACACAGTGAGGCGCGGAGAGACACGGCGGGGGAGACACTGAGACACGGCGGGGGAGACACAGTGAGGCGCGGAGACACGGCGGAGAGACACGGCGGGAGAGACACATTGAGGCGCGGCGGAGAGACACTGAGACACGGCGGGGGAGACACATTGAGGCGCAGAGACACGGCGGAGAGACACTGAGACACGGCGGAGAGACACGGCGGGGGAGACACATTGAGGTGCGGCGGAGAGACACTGAGACACGGCAGGGAGACACTGAGACACGGCAGGGAGACAGTGAGACACGGCAGGGAGACACTGAGACACGGCAGGGAGACAGTGAGATACGGCAGGGAGACACTGAGACACGGCAGGGAGACATTGAGGCACGGCAGGGAGACATTGAGACACGGCAGGGAGACATTGAGGCACGGTAGGGAGACACTGAGACACGGCAGGGAGACACTGAGGCACGGCAGGGAGACACTGAGACACGGCAGGGAGACACTGAGACACCGACACACGGGGACACACACACGGAGACACACACACACACACACGAGACACGGGGACACACACACACACGAGACACACACACACACACGAGACACGGACACACACACAGAGACACGGAGACACACACACACGAGACACACACACACATGAGACACGGGGACACACACACACACGAGACACGGACACACACACACAGAGACACGGAGACACACACACACGAGACACACACACACACGAGACACGGAAACACACACACACACACACACGAGACACACACACACACACAAGACACGGACACACACACACGAGACACGGACACACACACAGAGACACGGAGACACACACACACGAGACACACACACACATGAGACACGGGGACACACACACACACGAGACACGGAAACACACACACACACACACACGAGACACACACACACACGAGACACGGAGTCCCCCCGAGACAAGTGGGGACACACGGACGGGCGACACGGTGGCGCCGCGGGGACAGCCACCCCACCTCGCCTCCTCCTTCTTGTCGGCGTCTCTCCGCGTGGCCCCCCTCTCCCTCTCCACCGAGCGCTCCCCGGCCCTGCCCCTCCCCGCCGTCGGCGACGCCGCCGGTGACCGCGCCGGGCCCCCCCTCTCGTCCCGGCCGCGGGGCCGGGCGCCCCGGGACGAGCCCCCCCCCCTCTCGCGCTCCGAGGAGGCCGGGGCCGCCGCGGGGGGCGACGACGGCGGAGGAGGAGGAGGAGGAGGGGGGGGGCGGGGCCGGCGCCCCCCCGCGGGGGAGCGGTTCTCCTTGCCGGGCGATCGCTTCGACTGCTCGCTCCTCCTCCTCCTGCGCCTCGCCGCCCCCCGCTCCTTCTCCTGCTGGGGTCACGTGACACCGGAATGAAGGCGGGGGGGGCGGGGAGGGGGCGGGGAGGCGCTAGACGCAGCCACACGTCACGTGACTCCAGGTCACGTGATGTCAGTATTCAAGGGGGGGGTGGTGGCAGACAGACACGTCACGTGACTCCAGGTCACGTGATGCCGTCAGTATTAAGAGGGGGGGGGGGTGGTGGCAGACAGATTCGTCACGTGACACCAGGTCACGTGACGTCAGTATTAAGAGGGGGGGGGTGGTGGCAGACAGACACGTCACGTGACTCCAGGTCACGTGATGTCAGTATTCAAGGGGGGGGTGGTGGCAGACAGACTCGTCACGTGACTCCAGGTCATGTGATGTCAGTATTAAGGGGGGGGGTGGTGGCAGACAGACACGTCACGTGACTCCAGGTCACGTGATGCCGTCAGTATTAAGGGGGGGGGGTGGTGGCAGACAGATTCGTCACGTGACTCCAGGTCACGTGATGCCGTCAGTATTAAGAGGGGGGTGGTGGTGGCAGACAGACTCGTCACGTGACTCCAGGTCACGTGATGTCAGTATTAAGGGGGGGTGGTGGTGGCAGACAGACTCGTCACGGGACTCCAGGTCACGTGATGTCAGTATTAAGGGGGGGGGGTGGTGGCAGACAGACTCGTCACGTGACTCCAGGTCACGTGATGCCGTCAGTATTAAGGGGGGGGGGTGGTGGCAGACAGATTCGTCACGTGACTCCAGGTCACGTGATGTCAGTATTAGGGGGGGGTGGTGGCAGACAGACTCGTCACGTGACTCCAGGTCACGTGATGTCAGTATTAAGGGGGGGTGGTGGTGGCAGACAGACTCGTCACGTGACTCCAGGTCACGTGATGTCAGTATTAAGAGGGGGTGGTGGTGGCAGACAGATTCGTCACGTGACTCCAGGTCACGTGATGTCAGTATTAGGGGGGGGTGGTGGCAGACAGACTCGTCACGTGACTCCAGGTCACGTGATGTCAGTATTAAGAGGGGGTGGTGGTGGCAGACAGATTCGTCACGTGACTCCAGGTCACGTGATGTCAGTATTAAGGGGGGGGGGGGGGTGGTGGCAGACAGACTCGTCACGTGACTCCAGGTCACGTGATGTCAGTATTAAGGGGGGGGTGGTGGCAGACACTCGTCACGTGACTCCAGGTCACGTGATGTCAGTAAGCAGGGGGGGTGGTGGCAGGCAGACTCGTCACGTGACTCCAGGTCACGTGATGCCGTCAGTATTAAGGGGGGGGTGGTGGCAGACACTCGTCACGTGACTCCAGGTCATGTGATGTCAGTATTAAGGAGGGGGTGGTGGCAGACAGACTCGTCACGTGACTCCAGGTCACGTGATGTCAGTATTAAGGGGGGGTGGTGGCAGACAGACTCGTCACGTGACTCCAGGTCACGTGATGTCAGTATTAAGGGGGGGGGGTGGTGGCAGACAGATTCGTCACGTGACTCCAGGTCACATGTGATGTCAGTATTCAAGGGGGGGGGTGGTGGCAGACAGACACGTCACGTGACTCCAGGTCACGTGACGTCAGTATTAAGAGGGGGGGGGGGTGGTGGCAGACAGACTCGTCACGTGACTCCAGGTCACGTGATGTCAGTATTAAGGGGGGGGGGGGGTGGCAGACAGACTCGTCACGTGACTCCAGGTCACGTGACGTCAGTATTAAGGGGGGGGTGGTGGCAGACAGATTCGTCACGTGACTCCAGGTCACGTGATGTCAGTATTAGGGGGGGGTGGTGGCAGACAGATTCGTCACGTGACTCCAGGTCACGTGATGTCAGTATTAAGAGGGGGGGGGTGGTGGCAGACAGACACGTCACGTGACTCCAGGTCCCGTGACGTCAGTATTAAGAGGGGGGGGGGTGGTGGCAGACAGACTCGTCACGTGACTCCAGGTCACGTGACGTCAGTATTCAAGGGGGGGGTGGTGGCAGACAGACTCGTCACGTGACTCCAGGTCACGTGACGTCAGTATTAAGGGGGGGGGTGGTGGCAGACAGACTCGTCACGTGACTCCAGGTCACGTGATGTCAGTATTAGGGGGGGGTGGTGGCAGACAGATTCGTCACGTGACTCCAGGTCACGTGATGTCAGTATTAAGAGGGGGGGGGTGGTGGCAGACAGACACGTCACGTGACTCCAGGTCACGTGACGTCAGTATTAAGAGGGGGGGGGGTGGTGGCAGACAGACTCGTCACGTGACTCCAGGTCACGTGACGTCAGTATTCAAGGGGGGGGTGGTGGCAGACAGACTCGTCACGTGACTCCAGGTCACGTGACGTCAGTATTAAGGGGGGGGGTGGTGGCAGACAGACACGTCACGTGACTCCAGGTCACGTGATGTCAGTATTAAGGGGGGGGGGGGGGTGGCAGACAGACTCGTCACGTGACTCCAGGTCACGTGATGTCAGTATTAAGGGGGGGGGGGTGGTGGCAGACAGACACGTCACGTGACTCCAGGTCACGTGATGTCAGTATTAGGGGGGGGTGGTGGCAGACAGATTCGTCACGTGACTCCAGGTCACGTGATGTCAGTATTAAGGGGGGGTGGTGGTGGCAGACAGACACGTCACGTGACTCCAGGTCACGTGACGTCAGTATTAAGGGGGGGGGGTGGTGGCAGACAGACACGTCACGTGACTCCAGGTCATGTGATGTCAGTATTAAGGGGGGGGGTGGTGGCAGACAGACACGTCACGTGACTCCAGGTCACGTGATGCCGTCAGTATTAAGGGGGGGGGGGTGGTGGCAGACAGACACGTCACGTGACTCCAGGTCACGTGATGTCAGTATTAAGGGGGGGGGGGGTGGTGGCAGACAGACACGTCACGTGACTCCAGGTCACGTGATGTCAGTATTAAGGGGGGGGTGGTGGCAGACAGATTCGTCACGTGACTCCAGGTCACGTGATGTCAGTATTAAGGGGGGGTGGTGGTGGCAGACAGACTCGTCACGTGACTCCAGGTCACGTGATGTCAGTATTAAGGGGGGGTGGTGGTGGCAGACAGACACGTCACGTGACTCCAGGTCACGTGATGCCGTCAGTATTAAGGGGGGGGGGGTGGTGGCAGACAGACTCGTCACGTGACTCCAGGTCACGTGATGTCAGTATTAAGGGGGGGGGGGTGGTGGCAGACAAACTCGTCACGTGACTCCAGGTCACGTGATGTCAGTATTAAGGGGGGGGGGGTGGTGGCAGGCAGACTCGTCACGTGACTCCCGGTCACGTGATGCCGTCAGTATTAAGGTGGGGGGGGGGGGGGGGCGGGGGGTGTAGTGGCGGCACATCACACAGGGACGTCACATGACGCCTTCAGATTGCGCCACAGGCCGTGGCCAGGTGAAATCGAGCGGCGATGTTGGTCACCGTTCGAATAATTTCCTTCCTCCACCTGCTGTAGCGGACGGACAGATGACACGGCGGCGTCCGTGCAGGACCACGACAGCCTGAAACCGCATTGAGGCCCCCCCCCCGAAAGCCTCCCGCCCCCCCCCCCCCCCCCTCAGCGTGCCTGGCAGGGTCACGCATTCTGGCATCGGTGCGGTTCCATTCTGGCATCGGTGCGGGACCAAGCCGCCTGGTCTACAACCTTCGGCTGTAGACCAGGCGGCGGCTTGTGATTGTTGTTACACAGTCGCAACCCTCCTTCAGCAGATCCGCGTGAGAGGTCATCTCCGCCCCCAGGGCCCTCAAGCTCTCAGCAAAGTGCCGCATCCGAATCGGGTGCCCAGTTAGGGCACACGGTGGGGGGGGGGTGGGGTGGGGTGGGTGGTCAGCGAATTTACAGCGGCAAACCATCACGGAAAAAAATACGAGCGCAAACTTTGAGGAAATGGTAAGCAGAAATCACTAAATATAAATGACTAGCGATATATTCATCAACAACAAAACAGTTCCAGACCACACCAAGGTAACACACATCAGCCAGACAGGAACAGGGATAGACTACTTCCTCAAATATTCGAGGCGCGGCAGACCCAGCAGGGTCAAACCCCACCTTGTCCTACGATTTTAATTTGCACTGAGGGGTTTTCCGTCCCCCAAGACCTCGTATAAATGTGCTTTAAACCTGCAAACCTCTTCCTGGGAGTGTGGAAGTGCGGGTGGGTGGGTGGGTGAGTGGGTGGGTGGGGTGGGTGAGTGTGCTGGAGTGGGTGGGGTGGGTGAGTGGATGCGTGAGTGGCAGAGCGGGTGGGTGAGTGGAGGAGGCTCGTGAAGGAAGGACGCTGCTGCTGGGCAGTTGGAGGCAGTCGTCCTCCCGCAAAAAACGAGGGCTGACGAGCGACTCTCACAACAACGAGCGGAGCGCCGGGCGGCTAAAGCACAGTGGGGAACACAATTGGTGCATCTGCCAGTCGTCTAAGTCAATCAACCCATGGCTCCTGGGTCTTTGAAAACTACTGGACATCTGTGAAAAAAAGAGCTTCACAGCTAAGTGGATTCCTCCAGGATAAACAAAGTCTGATTCTGTTTTGGAAACCTCCTGCCAGCGGGCTCTGCACATGGGCCTCAAGTGAACCAGCACGGCACAAGCGCCGTAGTAATTAACCGATTACTAACGTAGAATATAATCACAATAACATACATTACAACTAATTACTAAGCTACAACTTATTACTAATCATAATAATTAACTGATTACTAATCTCCATATATATAAAAGGCAAAGCTGTGATTGCGTGCGTCTGTTCAAAATGTTTAGCGTACTTCCCGACATGCAACAAACTTGAAATCTATATATATAAAAGGGAAATTTGTGAATGTCTGTCTGTTCAAAATGTTTAGCGTACTTTCCCGACATGCAACAAACTTGAAATCTACATATATAAAAGGGAAATTTGTGAATATGTGTGTCTGTTCAAAATGTTTAGCATACTTCCCGACATGCAACAAACTTGAAATCTATATATATAAAAGGGAAATTTGTGAATATGTGTGTCTGTTCAAAATGTTTAGCGTACTTCCCGACATGCAACAAACTTGAAATTTGCCATGTGGGTACTTTCCAGACTATAGACCATGCAAACATTATACAATTTTGCATGGCAAGTGAGCTGTGACATCACATCTGTCATGTGACCCGCGGGTGTGTAGTGGTTAGCGTGCCGCGCTACGAACCCGGCGACCCCGAGTTCGATTCCCGCTCACGGCCACCACCGGTGACGATTATTTCAACCGGACCTGGGCCTCCCCTAGGTCGACTCAGCCTCAAACGAGTAACTGGTGCGGTGTGGTAGTAAACATCGCCACTGGGGGAGACAAAGGCGGCCGGGCGTGGTGAATCCAAGTCCCGGGTGAAGCCGGGTAGTAACCCCCCCCCCTCACCTTTAATGTCTGCACTTGAGTGGTTATAGTAATTGGGTTCAGTTATTCAATAATACACATTACACCTAATTACTAACCTACAACTCATTACTAATCAATCATAGCAATTGACTCATTCTAGATTTGAAGCGTTCGTGACTGCAAGGATTCATACTCTTTGTTTTTTTTCGCTAAAAAAGTCACGTAGCTAAAACAAAATCAAAGTAAAAGAAGACTAAATCGAATCGCGACGTTTCGGAGACAACACAACGCTTCTTCTTCTTTGGTTCTTTCGGTAAAGTCACCACCACGTAGAATGAGAATAAAATAATAAATTGATAAAATAAAATAATGCACAATAATATTCTCACGACGTTTCGGCCACAACACAAGCGGCCTTCATCAGGTGAAGGGGGCGAGACTGTCTGGTAGGACAGCGCTGGAGTGAAAGAAGCCACGTTCAGATCACGGCCTTTAAGCTGTGTGAGAGGAAACAAAGCGCCTTGACAAAGGAATTGGCATATAATTTAGCATTGAAATGGCTGAATGATTAGCTTGTGACTGGTCACAGGAATAGCTTGTGGAAGTCACAGCAAGGTAGCTGCATCAAGTGGTGAGCTCCGAGACCCTCCAGCTCATACACAGGTTAAGATTTGAAACGCGGCGGGACGAATCCTTCGGCCGTGGCTGATCATCGTCTCATTGTTTTCTCCGATACCAAAGCACTATGCAAACCTCCTGATTATTACCAAAAGATTTTTTTTTTATTACCAAAGATTTGTATGTAAGCTCGGGTGTCTCAGAGCTCACCACTTGATGCAGCTACCTTGCTGTGACTGTTCCACAAAAGCTTGTGCTGCCTCCGAAACGTCGTGATTTGATTTGGGTGTTTTCTTTTATTTTGATTTTGTTTCATCTACCTGACTTTGCCGAAAAAAACAAAGAGTATAATTGATGACTCATTACCTATTATATAATTACAATACCCCCCCCCCCCCTCCGCCTCAAATCACTGCACCTGAATGAGTTAAATGATAACGTCACCCTGCCGCTCTATTTAAGACCGGGATCAAGCGAGGGCTTTACCATTCTGGCGAATTGCCCGATGATGCCGGATGTAATTACCAGCGAAACGTCGTACTCAAAAAATTGTAAATGTTGTGGGTTCACCCTTCAACGCACCGGTGTGGGGCTAAAGTCGTGAACTATTTTGTCTTTTGTCAACGTGACACTTTTTTTTTTACTGACTGGCCGCGTCGGGTGGTGAAGGGTTACGACACATTCATAAATAACGCCATCTTACCCAAAAACCTTCATCACGAGCCTGCGGGTCTCCGTGCGAGCCTACGGGTCTCTGTGCGAGTCTACGGGTCTCTGTGCGAGTCTATGAATCTCTGTGTGAGTCTATCGGTCTCCGTGTGAGTCTACGGGTCTCTGTGCGAGCCTATGGGTCTCTGTGCAAGTCTATGGGTCTCTGTGCGAGTCTATGGGTCTCTGTGCGAGTCTATGGGTCTCTGTGCGAGTCTATGGGTCTCTGTGCGAGTCTATGGGTCTCTGTGCGAGTCTATGGGTCTCTGTGCGAGCCTACGGGTCTCTGTGCGAGCCTACGGGTCTCTGTGCGAGTCTATGGGTCTCTGTGTGAGTCTATGGGTCTCCGTGCGAGTCTATGGGTCTCCGTGCGAGTCTACGTGTCTCCGTGCGAGTCTACGGGTCTCTGTGCGAGTCTATGGGTCTCCGTGCGAGTCTATGGGTCTCCGTGCGAGCCTACGGGTCTCTGTGTGAGTCTACGGGTCCCTGTGCGAGTCTACGGGTCTCTGTGCGAGCCTACGTACGTATGCGTGCTCGTCCAACTTCCTGTGCACCCTGCTCAGCCAACCGCGCTACGCACGGAGGTGCTCGGGAAGGACCCTGAACCCTCGACACCCGCCGCCGCCCCCCCCTTCCTCCTCCCCACCACCCCCCTCTCTACCCCCCACCCCGGCTCACCTGATGCTGGCGCCCTGCCCTCTCCTCCTCGGGTGGCCCCGCGCCGCTGCCTCGCTCCCTCTCCGACCCCCGCCGGCGCCGCCGCTCCCTCCCCTGCGACTGCGAGCGCGAGCGGCTCCTCTTGCGGCCGCTCCCCGCCGCGGTCGCCGCGGCGGAGGAGGCAGCGGAGGCGGCGGAGGCGGCAGAGGCGGCGGAGGCGGCCCCTTTGCCCCGCTCGTGCCTCGACCGCCGCTGCTTCTCCTTGGCCCCGCGGCGGTCGCGCTCCCCGCGGCTGCGCGGCGCCGACGCCGCCGCCGCCGCCGCGGCGGAGCCGCCGCCGCCGCCGCCATTCTCCAGCGCCGACGACGCCGCCGCCGCCGCCGCCCCCTCGTCGTCCTCCTCCTCCCCTCCTCCTCCTCCTCCGCTTCCCCGGGTCGCGTCTCCGCGCCCCGCGGCCGCCGCCTCCTCCTCCCCGGGGTCACCGCCTCGCCCGGCCGCCGGAAGCGGCGGCGCCAGCGGCGCCGGTGCCGCGTCCGGCGGCTCGACGGCGCCGGCGGTGGCGGCGTGGGCAGGAGGAGGCGGAGGAGGCGGTGCGGGAGCAGGGGCCGGGTTTCCCCGCTCACTGATTTCCCCCTCCTCCTCCGAGCCGGACACGTAGCCCTGGAGCGAGATAGCGGCAATGGCGGTTGGTACGGTTGGCTACGTACTGCGCGAAAGCACATCATTATCACGTCACAATCATCACCACCACCGCCCCGTGCATCACATCATCATCACCGCCCCCATACGTCACATCATCATCGTCATCGTCACCACCACGTGTCACATTATCATCATCACCACCACTACCGCCACCCCGTGTGTCACATCATCATCACCGCCCCCATGCGTCACATCATCATCGTCATCGTCACCACCACGTGTCGCATTATCATCACCACCACCACCACCACCACCGCCACCGCCGCTCCGTGTCAGATCATCGTCGTCACGGTCACCACCACGTGCGTCACATCATCATCACCACCACCACCACCACCGCCCCAGTGCGTCGTATCATCATCAGATCACTGTCACATCACCGTCGTCGCCGCGTTGTCACGGCCGCCACCGGTGGTCCTCACCTGCAGGATGAGGCCCATGCCCGAGTGGGCGCGGTCTCCGTCGAGCTCGGCCTGAATCAGTGCCCGTTGCTTCTCCAGCTCCTCCAGCGCCTCCTCCTCCGCCCGCCCGCTCCGCTTCACCGCCTGGGCTGGCGGCGCCGCGGCCGCGGCGGTGACGGTGACGGTGGCGGTGGGCGGAGGTGCCGCTGGCTGCGCGGCGGCGGTGGCGGCTGTGCCGGGGTTTGGTTGCCTGGCGGGGGCAGTGGGGGAGGGGGAGCGGCCGCCGCCACCGCCACCGCCCTCGTCCTTCTTGCGATGCTTCTTGTGTTTGTGGCGATGCCTGGGGGAGGGAGGGGGGTGGGGGAGGCAGCAAGTGTGGCACACGGGGTCCTCAACGCACTGGTAGTGGTGGTGGGGTGTGGTGGCGACGGTGGTGGGGTGTGGTGGTGACGGTGGTGGTGGGGTGTGGTGGTGACGGTGGTGGTGGGGTGTGGTGGCGACGGTGGTGGTGGGGTGTGGTGGTGACGGTGGTGGTGGGGTGTGGTGGCGACGGTGGTGGTGGGGTGTGGTGGTGACAGTGGTGGGGTGTGGTGGTGACGGTGGTGGGGTGTGGTGATGACGGTGGTGGGGTGTGGTGGTGACGGTGGTGGGGTGTGTGGTGGTGATGGTGGTGGGGTGTGTGGTGGTGACGGTGGTGGGGTGTGGTGGTGACGGTGGTGGTGGGGTGGTGGTGACGGTGGTGGGGTGTGGTGGTGACGGTGGTGGTGGGGTGTGGTGGCGACGGTGGTGGGGTGTGGTGGTGACGGTGGTGGGGTGTGGTGGTGACGGTGGTGGGGTGTGGTGGTGACGGTGGTGGTGGGGTGGTGACGGTGGTGGGGTGTGGTGATGACGGTGGTGGGGTGTGGTGATGACGGTGGTGGGGTGTGGTGGCGACGGTGGTGGGGTGTGGTGGTGACGGTGGTGGGGTGTGGTGGCGACGGTGGTGGGGTGTGGTGGCGACGGTGGTGGGGTGTGGTGGTGACGGTGGTGGGGTGTGGTGGTGACGGTGGTGGGGTGTGGTGGCGACGGTGGTGGGGTGTGGTGACGGTGGTGGGGTGTGGTGGTGACGGTGGTGGTGGGGTGTGGTGGTGACGGTGGTGGTGGGGTGTGGTGGTGACGGTGGTGGTGGGGTGTGGTGGCGACGGTGGTGGGGTGTGGTGGTGACGGTGGTGGGGTGTGGTGGCGACGGTGGTGGGGTGTGGTGATGACGGTGGTGGGGTGTGGTGGTGACGGTGGTGGGGTGTGGTGGTGACGGTGGTGGTGGGGTGTGTGGTGGTGACGGTGGTGGTGGGGTGTGGTGGCGACGGTGGTGGTGGGGTGTGGTGGCGACGGTGGTGGTGGGGTGTGGTGGTGACGGTGGTGGTGGGGTGTGCGGTGGCGAGTGAAGATGGTGGCAGCAGTTAGTGATAACGGTGGTAGCGGTGAGTGGTGACGGCGGTGGTAATGGTGATGAAAATGACGGCGGTAGCGATTAGTGGTGGCCAGCGGTTAGTGACAACGGTGGTAGCACTTAGTGGCGATAGCGATTAGTGATGATGGTGGTGGTGGTGGTAGCGGCTAGCGATGGTGGTGGGTGGTAGCGGTTAGCGATGGTGGTGGGTGGTAGCAGCTAGCGATGGTGGTGGGTGGTAGCGGTTAGCGATGGTGGGTGGTAGCAGTTAGCGATGGTGGGTGGTAGCGGCTAGCGATGGTGGGTGGTAGCAGTTAGCGATGGTGGGTGGTAGCAGTTAGCGATGGTGGGTGGTAGCAGTCTGTACTGACGGTGGTAGCGATTAGCGATGATGGTGGCAGTGACAGTGTTGGCGATGTGCCCACCGCCGCCGCCGCCCTCCCCACCTGTGCTTGTGGGCATCGTCTCCCGCCTGCTTGTGCTGCTTGCGGTGCTTGGAGCTCTTGCTGTGGTGGTGCCCCCCGCTGCCGCGGTGGTGCCCCCCGCTGCCGCGGTGGTGCTTGTGTTTTTTCTTGTGCTTGTGCCGGGGCCACGAGGAGCCCCCCGCGCTGCGCTCCGAGGGGCTACCACCCGCCGCCAGAGCCCCCGTCCGCCCCCCCTCCTCCACCTCCTCCTCCTCCCCCTCCTCCTCCTCCTCGTCCTCCGCCCCACCCGCCTGCTCGCCCCGGGCCTCCTCCACCGCCATGTGGCCTCCGCTGTCTCCCACCTCCTGCTCGGCCAGGCTGCGCGCGTGGAAACGCGGTCAAGGGGTGCGCGGCGAACGCCGCGAGAGAGAGAGAGAGAGCGGGTGAGCAAGGGAGGGGGAGAGAGTCGGTGAGCAAGAGATGCGGTAAGTGAGCAATGAGAGTGAACGAGCAAGCAAAGAGAGTGAACGAGCGAGCAAAGAGAGTGAACGAGTGAGCAATGAGAGTGAACGAGTGAGCAAAGAGAGTGAATGAGTGAGCAAAGAGTGAACGAGTGAGCAAAGAGAGTGAACGAGCAAGCAAAGAGAGTGAACGAGTGAGCAAAGAGAGTGAATGAGTGAGCAAAGAGTGAACGAGTGAGCAAAGAGAGTGAACGAGTGAGCAAAGAGAGTGAACGAGCGAGCAAAGAGAGTGAACGAGTGAGCAAAGAGAGTGAACGAGTGAGCAAAGAGAGTGAACGAGTGAGCAAAGAGAGTGAACGAGTGAACAAGAGATGCGGTAAGTGAGCAAAGAGAGTGAACGAGCGAGCAAAGAGAGTGAACGAGCGAGCGAGGGGAGGGGCGAGCGACTGACCAAGAAAGTAAACGAGTGAGAAAGAGAGTGAATGAGTGGGCAAGTGAGCAAGAGAGCGAAGGAGCGAGCAGGGGAGTGAGTGTAGTGACCAAGGGAGGGAGTGAATGAGCGAGGGAGTGAGGGAGTAAGCGAGGGAGTGAGCGAGTAAGCAAGGGAGTGAGCGAACGAGTGAGCGAGTGAGCAAGAGAGTGAGCGAAGGGGCAAGTGAGTGAGCGAATGAGTGAGCGAGTGAGCAAGAGAGTGAGCGATTTAGCAAGGAAAGGGGCGAGTGAATGAGCGAGTGCCCTCAGGAAGAGAGTGAGACAGAGTGCATTGGGGCGTTTGGCCATTTCATTGTTTTCAGTCAGTTGAGGGTTGGCGTCACACGGGGTGGAAACCCGGAGAAAGCACGAGGGGACACCACTCAAACGATCCACATAGGCGGACCTGCTTGCTGTACCTGCCCATGATCCAACACACCTCCTAACGCACAGCCCTGCGAGTTTGGTCATTCTGAACCCATCTCATAGGATAATCAGGTCAGAACCCGTGGCTCCCCCTCAACCGGTTGTGGAAATTCCATGCTGCCACGTCCAGGTATCAGTCTCTTCACAAAACAACCACTGTTGACTCCCTGGATGTGACCGTCTGATCCGTGTGCGAGACACGCGCCTCCGCACGAACAAAGGCTGACAACTCCGACAGGGGATGGTGACGCTGCCAAGCGGTAGCACGTTTAGGCGTTTGGCCCAGAGGCTCGAGGTTCTATTGTTTTATCGTCTGCTTCAGGTGATACTGCGGCTTGCATTGACAATGAAAAAAAGAAGTAGTTTAATCGCCGTCCGCTTCACTCGCAGCCGACCGTCAAAAGATCCCGTTAATGCCATTCGCAAACGGTGGGCCATGGCGCGTGCCAGCCAGGGTTTCAAATTCGAGAAATCGCAAGCCTCGAATGAGTTACTCGGTTGTGATCACACGCAGCGGCAGAAACAAACGACGCAGGTACCAGACGCACGCCGAAACATTTTCGCAGGAATCGTTACGAAGCCAAAACGTAACAACCGCAACGAGGCGACAGCTCAAAGATGGCAGCATTGACAGCCGCGGCCTGAAAATACTAACGTGGACCGGTGACACTGACACGACATTAACTCAACAGCCACCATCCTGGCAATACCAATACCCACCATTCGCCACTAAGTGGCGGTGGCGTCAGCACGGCACCTGTGCCAGGTCAGGTGCACTTTGAGGCCACGTGAAGCTCTCTGCCAGGAGTTCTCGGGACAGACCCAGGCGCCATGGGTTGGCCGACTGAGATGACTGGAAGATGCACCAGCTGTAATACTAACACACATACGCTGGTGACGCTGTTGACCACAATGGTAATTGAACAACCACTACACAGCAATACTAAGTGTATACGTAGGTGATTGAGTGAGTGTGTGGTTGCGACCTAGTGTGGTGGCGATTGAACAGTATGGATGAGAGGCAAGTGTCTGGTAGACCATGGTAGTGGTAGCTAGAGAAGAGCGACAAGGAAGTGATGGAGTACCGAAGAGAGCGTGACTGGCGTGTGCCAACGCGTGAAGTTCACGGGAACAGTCACCATGCTAGTAGCGGCAGAAGAGCGACAAGGAGGCGACTGATAGCCCGGTGAGTTGAGCGAGCGACTGGAGTGAATCAACGAGTGTTGGATCCTACCAGACAGACGATATTAAGACCACCACAACGTAACAACAATAGCAATATTAATAAGCTCGTAGTGATAACATCACCTTTACTCTATTTAAGAGACTGAAAACAAGAATACTTCGAGATTTGAAGTTTTCATGACTGCAATGACCCCATACTCTTTGGTTCTTGCGGTAAAGTCACATAGGTAAGAATACAAAATAAAATTTAAAAAAATAAAGTTAACTTTCTCTTTAACTTTCTTTTTTTTTATTTTTACCTACGTGACTCTACCGAAAAAACCAAAGAACGGGAATACGTCTTCACAATTCTGGCAAATCGCCCGATGAAGCTGGTTTTGCAATCACCAGCGAAACGTCGCAGTACTCAAAATTCTAAATGCTGTAGGGTTCACTCTTTCAACACCCCCCGTTGTGCCCAAGTATAAACCAATTGGCGCGTTTTGTTTACTGGACAAACCTTACTAACTGGCTTCTGTAGGGTGGTGGACGGGTTACCGACACATTTATATTTACGCAATCTAACCACGCAAAAAAAAACTTCATTATGGAAATGTTGTGGGTTTACTTTACGAACATTCGCGGTGTGCTCAAGAAGTAACCAATTGGCACGTTTTGTTTACGTGACGAACCTTACGAATTGGCCGTGTGAGGGGTGGTAGTGGTGTGTTGAATATTTGAAATTTACGCGAAATTTAAACTAACCTCCTTCCAAAACAAAACCCTGATATTATTAATTCCCATTACTACACAACGCCGCCTATCAACAACAACTGATCGCGCTCAGGGTCCCCTCCACTCAGCAGGGCCACCGCCAGAGGCCTTAACAGGAGGGCCCCCGCCTAGGCCGCGAACCGCACACCGGAGTCCCGGTGTGCGGTTCGCGGCGGGGGTCCCGGTGTGCAGTTCGCGACGTTCCGAGTCGCAACCCTCGTGGCTCCACCCGCCGCTCGAAATGCAACGAGGAGGGCAGCGGCGAGAGAGAGAGAGAGGGGAGGGGGGTGGGCGAGGCCTGGCGGGAGCAGCACGCAAGAGCCTGGCCAAAGCCTCAGGCGAGCTGACAGCTATCCTAGCCGAGGAGGTGAACACCGCGGCGCTTCGGGGGTGGGGGAGGGGAGTTAACGCGACCGCCGCCGCCGAGAGAGAGAGAAGAGGAGGGGGTGGAAGAGGCGATGGTGGCGAAGAGGGTAGAGGAGGAGGTGGTGGTGGTGGTGGTGGACGCGGCTGACGAGGTCGGAAAGACCGCGAGATACCTGATGCTTGCCCGCGCCTCCAACGACGCCATGACACCAGCTCCCGGCATGCAACGCGCGGCCGGGGGGGAGGGGGTGAGGGAGGAAGTGGGGGGGGTTGGTGGGAGCGCGGGGAGGGGGGCGGAAATGGCGGGGGGGGGGATAGGTGGGCTTAGTGCGCATGCGTGGGAGGAGGGGGTGGGGATAGCCTAGTGCGCATGCGCACTGAATTAAGGGGGGGGGGGTGAATAGGTGGCCTAGTGCGCATGCGCAGGAGGAGGGGGGGATGAGGGGTGAATAGGTAGCCTAGTGCGCATGCGCACTGGTAGGGGGGGGAGGGACAGATGGCCTAGTACGCATGCGCGGCAATAACCCTTTGATTTGCAAGTGCAGATGCACAATTGGGAGGTTGGGGGTTTGGTGTATATTTGGTTGTGCGGATAGGCGTCCACGCGCACGGCACGTGCTCTCGCGTGAGCGTCGACGCACTGGTGGAAAGAAATTCCACGTTCCCATGGCAGAGGCGGGGGAGGGGTATGTTCAGAGAAGGAAAATAGGACAATCGCTGTTGATGTCCCTACAAAGTGATGGACTAACGCAGAGACCCATAGACTCACCACACAGAGACCCGTAGACTCATCACACAGAGACACATAGATTCACACACAGACCCATAGACTCACACAGAGACCCATAGATTTAGAGACCCATAGACTCACACAGAGACCCATAGACTCACACAGAGGCCCATAGATTTAGAGACCCATACACTCACACAGAGACACATAGACTCAGACAGAGGCCCATAGATTCACACACAGACCCATAGACTCACACAGAGACCCATAGATTTAGAGACCCATAGACTCACACAGAGAACCATAGATTCACACAGAGACCCATAGACTCACACACAGACCCGTAGACTCACACAGAGACCCATAGATTTAGAGACCCATAGACTCACACAGAGAACCATAGACTCACACAGAGACCCATAGACTCACACACAGACCCGTAGACTCACACAGAGACCCATAGATTTAGAGACCCGTAGACTCACACAGAGACCCATAGACTCACAGAGAGACCCATAGACTCATACAGAGACCCATAGATTTAGAGACCCATAGACTCACACAGAGACCCATAGATTTAGAGACCAATAGACTCACACAGAGACCCATAGACTCACACAGGGACCCATAGACTCACACACAGACCCATAGACTCACACAGAGACCCATAGACTTACACAGAGACCTTTAGGCTAACACACAGACCCATAGACTAACACACAGACCCATAGACTCACACAGAGACCCATAGACTCACACAGAGACCCATAGATTCACCACACAGAGACCCACACACAAACCAAGAGACCCGTAGACTCACAGAAACCAACAGTTTGTGTGTGAGTCTCTGTATGTTGAACTTCTTTCGCACCGTACGTAGCCAACCGTGCTAATCAGGGATGCGGGTGGAGGACAACAAACTAAACACAACAAGCAGTTCTACAGAAATTAGTCGATCCAGGTGGTATAAAAGTGCATAGCCCCTAGTGGCCTCCCAATATCGGAAGAGCGTTCCAGACGGCCACAGAAGCCATCTTCATTCGACGGCTCAGCCAAAAGCCACCGCCGCTGCTACGAGGACGAGCGGAGTTGGCGTGACTACGATGGTGCATGGCTCCTTGACAAGGTCAGCAGCGAGGTGTCGTGGGTTCATTTGTGGCGAGCCACTTGGTGTGGGCAATGACGTGCGACCTTCAATCGCTCTGTGTCCCCTCCTTCACGGGCGCTACGACCCATCACAACAGGGGGGGGGTGGCAATGCAAGATCCGACTGCGGCCCCCCTCCGCCCCTCCTTTCTCATATTCTTGGTTCTTTCTTGGTTCTTTCGGTAAAGTCATGTAGAAGGGAAACAATAAAATAATAAATGAATACATTTCTTGCTGTGGTTTTCGCACCTGATGATGATTGCTTGTGTTGCAGTCGAAATGTCGTGAGAATTTTATTGTTTTATATTTTTATTATTTTATTGTTTCCCTGTCTACGTGGTGGTGACTTTACCGAAAGAACCAAGAATATCTATGGGCAGTGTTGAATCTATGGTGCAGTGTTGAGTCTATGGACAGTGTTGAGTCTATGGTGCAGTGTTGAGTCTATGGGCAGTGTTGAGTCTATGGTGCAGTGTTGAGTCTATGGGCAGTGTTGAGTCTATGGTGCAGTGTTGAGTCTATGGTGCAGTGTTGAGTCTATGGGCAGTGTTGATCGTCTATAGTGCAGTGTTGAGTCTATGGTGCAGTTTTGAGTCTATGGGCAGTGTTGAGTCTATGGTGCAGTGTTGAGTCTATGGTGCAGTGTTGAGTCTATGGGCAGTGTTGATAGTCTATAGTGCAGTGTTGAGTCTATGGTGCAGTTTTGAGTCTATGGGCAGTGTTGAGTCTATGGTGCAGTGTTGAGTCTATGGTACAGTGCTGAGTCTATGGACAGTGTTGAGTCTATGGTGCAGTGTTGAGTCTATGGTGCAGTGTTGAGACTATGGTGCAGTGTTGAGTCTATGGGCAGTGTTGAGTCTATGGTGCAGTGTTGAGTCTATGGGCAGTGTTGATTTAAAGCTTTCGTGACTGCAAATTTTCTTGCTGTGGTTTTCACACCTGATGATGATTGCTTGTGTTGCAGTTGAAACGTCGTGAGAATTTTGTTTAATATTTTTATTATTTTATTGTTTCCCTTCTACGTGGTGGTGACTTTACCGAAAGAACCAAGAATATGAATCCCTGCAGTCACGAAAGCTTTAAATCGAAAAATAATGTGTCAGGCTACAACTATACGTGTAAAGGATGGCAAGCTACATTTCTTGGATGTCCTAATCAAAAAGAAACCAGATGACTCAATGAGCCATTCTGTCTACAGGAAAGCAACCCATACTGATGCCTACCTAAAACCTCACTCCCACCACCATCCATCCCAAAAGAATTCCAACATCAAAACTCTACACCATAGAGCTCAACGTATCTCCGACCATGAGCACCTAACCAGTGAACTCAAACCCGTACACCAAGCTCTCAAGGCGAATGGATACTCTGACTACACAATCCGGAAAGCCATCACCCCAACCGTGAGGAAGCAGCCATCTGAGGATCCAATCACAACCATCACCTTGCCATACATAGCAGGAGTAACCAAAAATATTGCCAAAATCATGAACAAACACACGATCCAGGTCCGATTTAACACAGTGTAAGGGATGTCAGGGGAAGGATTCCCACAAATAGGAGGGGGAGTGGGACGGTGACAGGGAAAGGGGGAGGAGCAAGCGAGGAGATATGAGAGAAAACAATTAAATCACGTTTCGGAGGCAACACCAGCTTCCGTCTTCAGGTGGAACAGTCACAGCAAGACCGCTGCATCAAGTGGGGAGCTCTGCTCATCTCGTTGTCTGTCAAAAGCTCTAACAGATAGGTGAAAACCCTCCCCGTAGAGGTCATTAATTCTAGATTTGAAGCTTACGTGACTGCAACAATCCTCCCCACTTGATGCGGCGATTTTGCTGTGACTGTTCCACCTGAAGACGGAAGCTAGTGTTGCCTCCGAAACGTCGTGATTTAATCTAGTTCTATTTTATTTAACCTACGTGACTTTACCGAAAAAACAACCCCCCAAAGAGTATGAATCCTTGCAGTCACGAAAGCTTCAGTATGTAGAAAGATATAAGAGACGTAACAGGCGGGAAGAGGGGGATCTTGGCGGGAACGAGACTGAGGCGGCTGGGGACAGGTGTGGGCTGGAGAAAGGCATAAAAGACGAACCCCCTGAACCCCCTGCAACCTTTCCTTTACATCTGGTGGCAGCGGAGGGATCGACAATGGCTACAAGGAAGAACCTCCGCGGAAGAGAGCCAACAGAAGAGGAAGCAGGGGCCGGGGATCCCCCACGTCCAGGGCAACAAAGGAGGCC